TACTAGCGGAGACATTACTGTAGGGAAACCAAGTTGAAGCTTGTCATTTATTGAAAATGGATTTAAATTAATATCAAATTTGTATTTGCTGAAAGTAAAACACTCCTAACAATTTAAACAGCAAACTATGCAAATTAGCCCACTATCAGAAATTTTTGTCGCTTAATATATACAAACACACTACTTCTTATATTCTTGCAAGTATTTTTGTTTTCTAATATTTGGTTTAATATACGAGTACAGTCTTCAGGCTGTCGTTGGGGTGTACACAACCAACTTCAGCGTATTACTCAATTGAAATAAAGAAAAGAGTCAAACATAATCTAGAAAGCAAAAAAATCAAAAAATTTAGTAAAAAAGCATCATTATTTCATCATCACGCGAAATTATGAATATCAGCAATGGATTTCTATATAGTTACTGGATTATGGATCTAAATTTAAGTTAAAAGGTCCAATCCATATCAAATACAAACAAAAAATAATATAAGAGTGAACAAAAACTTTCGTTTTAGCGAAAAGTGGCTCAAGATATTGATTCGATTTCTTTTTTTTCTTTGCAAATTTACCATTTATAAGGAAACTATTACAGCGGTTGCAGCGATAATCATTGCAATGATAAAAATGACGGTCACAAGTTACAAGTGATATAAAAACGATGATGATCAGTTGACATATTATGAAGAACGATATATAAAAAACTGTTTGATCAGGCCTTTAAGAACGAGTACATGGTCACAATTGTTTTAAAGAAATTTTCTCCAATATTGTATTGCTTTGTAATTAATAGAATAGGAGTACCTTGTTCAATATTTTCTCTGTTTCGGGTTACATACAAATTTTTTTTCTTATTTTTGTAACAAAATAGCATTAATTAACACATATCCTTTCTAAAAGTTATTTGTTTTTGTTCCAAAAAAACGTCATTTTTTCTTCTCTTTCATTGCACATTAATTTTAATCGTAAAAATCTAGTCCGCCGAATTTACTGACATTCCATTCAAATTAAAATCCGCACTTCATCTGCCGGCCGCAATTTTTCTCTCTCTTACTTCTGTGCAGCCACAGGCCAACATATTCCACGGACATGCCAATTTTTCCTTCAGACTATCCTTCCTTCTTCTTCTTCTATTGTTCAGCAACTTAACATCCGAAAGTTCCCTGAGATGTGTAAAAAAGGCGCAAACTGTCATTCCTAGTCGCGGAATTAAACAAACACCGCTACAGTTTTACATTTGTAACAAGAGTTATGGGGCAAAAATCAAATGTCAGAACTTGACCAGAAAATATAGCCATTCCTATATCCTCACTTGGTCGTCTCAATTTGGAGGCCTCTAATGATACAACGACACCGTCGTCAAAATAAGTTGTCCTGAACCAGGAAATCAAAAGTTTATTATCATAATTTTTATCTGATCGCAAACGTTACCAATAAAATATGTATATGTGCATACGCAAAAACATGTGTTTATGTACGTTAACTCACCGCCATCCATTCATGCTATGCTTTGCTTTTCAGTTTATGAAACGTTCTTCGTTTCGTGCGTGCTTACGAAAATATATGTACGTTACGTTTACGCGCGCAACTTTCTCGACGTTCCTCTACTGTGAAATAACGTAATATGAGCACCATTCCGCCTCCACATTATTTGATTATTTAATAACATTTTTACTTTCCCTTTTTTTCATTTTGTTTATTTATTTTTTTATTTATTTTATTTCCTTACACATGAAACTCAACTAAAGCAAATTAACAGTCGAATTCAATTCATTCTTAGAAGTAAATCTTATACTAATTAATACTAAAAACTAGTATAAAGTATATAAGGAGAATTAAAAAAAAATGTATATATGTGTTACGAAAATCCCAAATTCAGTTAATGTCAGCTAAGTAATTTTCGTAATAATAAATTCCCTAAAGAAGGAAAAACCAAATGAGCATTCGCAGGCGCCTCATGCAGCTGCAGGCCGACGAAAACGATTAGCGGAAAAGCATACAGGTAAAAGCTAAGTGCACTTTCACAGGCGCGTCATGCAGGTGCGGGCCGATGAAAACGATTAGAGGAAAACCAGGCTGGGATTAGAAATAAAACCATAAATTTAGGTTTAGTAAGATGCTTGTAATCTAGTGATCTAGTGATACGTATCTTAGTAAAAAGCGAATTTCATAACCTATGTAATAATTAATTATTAAACAGTAATTCATGTAGAAGTGAACAACAAGGAAAAAAAAGCATGTGCACAACTAGCACAGAGGCACACCCACAACCAGTACAGACGCAAGTTGCAAGTGAACAGCTAACCCATCGCAAACACGCTTAAGTTTGGCATCGATAAAGTAAACAACATTAATCAATTTTCGAATCATAAGGATATGTTACGCTAAAAAGTTAGTTTAAATACAACATAGGCAAATCGCGCGCGTTAAGTAAAGTTGTTCTGGTAGACTTCACTTAATCCGATATTGAGATTAAGTGATAGACATCGTTTAGGTTTCTGCAAATAACTCCAACCGGTTAAACAGTTCATAATTATATTTGAACATAAAGTACAAAGAGAAGCGGTGAGGGAGATTAAAACTTATGTCATATGTGGGGACGGTTCGATAGTACCATTAATTAACTTAATTAAGAAGGAAAGAAATAAGTCTACGTTTTTCAAGTAACGTTAAGGATAACAAAAGCAACCTAATTTCATAAGGAAGCAAAGAGACAAGCGGATCTCAACCCAAATTCCTAAGGACAAACAGAAAGAATTGCTTTTCCCCTGATTCAATTAAATCGACAGAACACTTATAGGACGGAAACCACACAATCGAGATATACCCAAGTCTTGATCTAACTAAGCACATACATAGCTTTTTTGTAATGTAAGGATTGTATCATACTATAGTATACTCAATGGGCTCTTATTGAAATGTGTCTAGCTCGCCGAAATTGGGAGGGTTGAAGAATGAAATTTTGCCCTATAGAATCTTTATAATTTTATAAGATGTAAGTGGATGTGTAGTGAATGTGAGTGTGTTAAGTGTACACTTACTTCGCCAGCCAGTATCGTAACAACATAATTAGTTTACAAACATTTTATTATGGTGTAATTAATATAAATGTCTTAACCTATTGTTGACAATTGTGTAACAGTCGTAAAATTAAGAATTATAAACTATATTAATGATATAAATTACAACTCACCTACTCACGCCGAATGTACATTCGTGATTCTAGAATAAAATTAACAAATTAATCTGATTTGTAATTTCGTCAATAAATTGTTGAATCAGGAGAAAAGGTAAGAAAAAAAAAATGGCTTCTTCTCCAATTGCCTGAAGCTTGAAAATTGTGGTTTTACGATATCTGAAACCTTATTTCAGTCTACGAAATTAAAAATCTGGAAGATGTTTGACCACCAAACATACTTCGCATTTCATTTTTTTGAACAATCACGGCTAAAAACTCTCTCCTTTGCTTCTTTTATGTTAGATTTCACCTTGTTAAATGTAATTTGAAACAGCTGTCACTCATATCTTCACTTATGCAATGTTGGCATTTAATTCCTTTTGAATATACCCAAATATCAATGGTTAATTAATTTTTTTGTGTATTAGATTTGAGCGATTGTTTCAATGTTTTCGCCAATTAACGTCTTTTATATTATTCATCAATAAATCTTGCTTTTTGCTTGACCAATTAATTTTTTGACTCAATTTTTATTATTTTTCTAATTTTTTTCATGAAAAATAAAAAATTTTCACTTCTTCAGTCACTCTCTGCTGTCACGTCCGCTCTTGCAACAAAAAACCAAAAAAAAAAAGTTCTCTTTTTTTTCTTTTAGACATCAAAAAAAAATAAATAAATCAAACGCATACTTGTTTTCCTACAGGATCCAGCAGCTCTTTCGACCGCCACTTAATGAAACCAAGCGTAGACCTATCTTCACTTAAAGAGAGCTCAATGGGCAAATTAAAACGTAATCTTAGAATCCCTAAATCGATGAACGAATCAAAGTTTTTCAACTTGTGCGAGTCAATGAAATACTCAGTATTGAATGATTTCCTTCTTAAAAAAGAAAGCCCCTTGCTTTTTATTAGATTTAATTTCATAAAATTTAACGAGCATCGTGTAATCATATTATTTGCGCCAGTTTGAAGCTGGCACAATTGCGATTCCAAGGGGAAAACAGTTCAACATCGTCAACGTACATTAAGACCTAGCTGAACTTAATCACCGAAGGGAGAACGTTAATGTATTAATTAAATAAATGGATCCCAAGTGGTTTAGTAAAGTGGATTAGGCTATTTGTTGATAAGACTAATATATATAATCAGTAAAATGATTGATTTTTATTATTTCTTGGTCCCTAACACTTTTCAATGGTTGCGACAGTATATGATAATGTACGAAAAGAGTGGTGGTACAGTATTGATTACAAGCTGAGGGAAATTAAGACTATTCATTACACAATGGGCAGGAAACAAAAAAAAAAATTAATTTACTTACCTTTCATAAATTTAAAATTTTTTGTTTTGGTAAAGGTGTTCCTAAGTAAATAACTTTGTTTAAAATTGATGTTCAATTTGCAGCTATTTTCTCTTATAAATTCAAGTCGAAACAACCAATGCTACCTCTGAAAAAGCAATATAAATGCAAAACGTGAACTATTTTATTTACGCCTGATTTGACAACTATGATAGAGCGTTTCCCGCACCGCTCCTGCATTTATATAACAAAAAATTTTTGTTTTTTATATTCTACTACAGATGTAGTTTTCATTGAGAAATGTAAGAGACCACAATTAAAGCCAAAAACTAAAATATGAAATTTTGCTCTCGCAATACCTAATTAGCACCGTAATCACGTATTCATCTTTTCATCCCATATACTACTATTTGATGAAGCAGGTGAACGAGCATTTAGTTCAGTATATTTGTATTTAAATTTGCTAAATTGCAATATATTTGGATCTATATTTCTTTAACTATATCGCTAAATTTTATTATTCTAAATTTTAAAATCTTATTATTTGCATATCTTTACTTTTCAGTATCACATATTATTCATAGGTTTATGCAACTTAACACGTTTTGAAGTGTGTTACTTTTGATTTATTTTCTTTTGGTTTTAATTTTGTTTACGATTTTAATTCGCGACGTACGTCAAGTATGTACACATCGTCTGGCTTAAGTGATTATTCGCTGTAAGTGTAGAAATTGCAAGCTCAATATTTCATTAATGTTATCGAATAATGTAAAGTTTTTTCAATTTTAATACTTTAATTAAGTTAATATCATTTATCAATTGCAATCAGGCGGCATTAATCACTGCCTGGTTGGTCTTTTGCACGTACAAGTTAGTACCACTAACTAATAGTAACGAATTCCATTTTTCTTGCTAAAGACTAAATTTCACAAAAAAGATTTCTGCGGACTATTTTAATACCTCCACAAAAAGTGCGTTGATTTTTTTTTAAACATGAAAAAATTAACTCTGAAAATCTTCAAACGTATAATACGCGTTTTATTGCGTCAACCGCTATGGCAATCTTTATTTGCTTAAATTAAAAAGCGTTAAGTAATTATTTCCTTGTATTACCTTAACATATTTTTTAGAGCTCTATGTACATTTCAAAGTTTACTTCTCACCGTTGTTCAACATGATCGATAGAAACGGCATCGGTGACGAATAAAAACGAAAATCAACTTTCCCCTAAAGATTGAAGTTACAGAAGTATAGCAATCTAACAATCAATTTCTTTTATAAACGTGAAGAATCTTTATCATAGCTATAATATAAAATTCGTTGCCAACTTGGTTTCAGTGGAACTAAAACAAGGTTGTATTTAGATCAATGTTTAATGAGTGCCCGTACATAAGGTTGTTTAATTTTGTAGATTTTTCTTAAACATTCTTCTTACATATTCGAAAACCATTTTAAAAAGTTCGGTTTGGATGATTAATTAAATAAAAGCTATTTAAGTTTCGTCCTTAATCTAATTGTAAAACCAAAGTTTTTGTGGCACTGGCTATGTAGTAAGCACACTCGCGGACATCTTTAGTGTATTTGTCGACGGCGGCCGTATCATCCGTATCCAAGGCGCTACGCAAGTTTTCACAACTGTGTTGTATTAAGATATTATTTCGATTTAGTTGCATTAAGGTTTCACGTATAATGTCGTTACAATTTGACTAATAGAAGAAAAATTAACCCATTTACTCATTAATTGCAAACTCTATGAAATGAATCTTTTATACCCACCATACATATTATATAAACTTAGATTTTAATTATTTGGCACAAATGTTCAGTTTTTAGTTTCTTTCAATTTTTTGCTTTTATCGAAATTTTTCGAAACAATAATCCCCCTCATTTTCAACAATATTTTTCTAAACTTGCGTCAAGGGTATATACGAAATGTTTAAAGTTTATATTCAAAACGGACAGACCTGAGTAAGTCAAATTCAGACGTCTTTTACGTTAGCTTCTAGGTTTTACAAACGCACTAGCATTATTCGATGGTGGAATAAAAGTTAATATAAATGCTCACCGGTACAGCAAACACTTTGATTAGTTCCAAAACCGACGTCCTAATGTGTTCGGCGCAAGGTACTAAACTTCCGTGATTGCCCGGATCTTGCATAGAGTGTATTAACTCTTTAAGGCGGTGAGTAACAATATCAGCTTTTTGATTGAGCTCTTCTCTAAGCACTTTATCACCCGCCATTTGATACATAGAAGTTGTATTTCGTGAATCATTTTGCGTCTTTGTAAAAGTAGCAGTCAAACGCCTTTCATACATGCTGGCGGGGCGCTTAATGGTTGATTGGTTAGAATTGGTGGCCGATGAAGTAGTTGAAGACGAACAATTTGATATGTTTACCATCATAGGATTGGTGGTTAAGCCCTCAGGCAAAGAATGAAGCTCTTGTTCTTGATCGTTTGGGGTAAAATCAATCCGTCTTCATAAGAAAAATAATGAAATAATAGAAATAAAGAAAAATGAAAATTGAACAAAGAATTAAAAATGCTGTGCTCACAAGGGTTCGTCATAAATGCTACTGTCTGACGCGTTTAAAGTTCTTTGAGTCACATTTGAAAATTTTGACTTCAATTCTGAATTTTCGTTGGACAGTTTTTGTACAACTGTCTTTAACTGATTTATTTCTGAAACATAATCGTTGATCTGTTTACGTAAATTTTCCATTTCTAAGTTAGTTTCTTCCTGGGTGGCTGATTGATGAGGAATGGTCTTTAAAAGAAGAAACAAAAATTTTAATGAAATTAAAAAATATAAAATGATAATATGAAAAATAAAAAGAAAAACTATATATAGGCATCCAAATATTGAAAACAACTGTTGGTTGGTTGCTACAATGAATATATATCAGTTTTATTATGATTCAAAAGTGTTAAATAAACATTGTGAAGATTTTGCATTATATTTTTGTGGTTAAGTATACTTTATCCAAATTTAGGACCACTGGCGTGATTATTGCCAGAAGAAATGATACCTTTTACCAATATTCTTGAACCTACGATCCGTTTGAAGTACAAAGCAAAAAAAACCCACATGCGCCAACCGGTAAATGCGGGTTGAATACAAAACTTGTCATATAATAACAAGTACGTACATTCGTGTTCAACTTTTTTTTCGTGGTCCTTTCTGTCGCTGAACTGGGATTTATATTAGATTTTACAATAGTAAATAGTTTGCATAAAATAAATCTTTATGCACCCAACACCAAATTTCATTATGGCTGCTATTTTCTATTACTTTTTTCGAAAGCGTTGCAAATGCGTATACCATAATAATATATAACTTATACGTACATCTTATGTAACATAAGCTAACATATATAACACATCTCTGCTTCAAGAATAACATAACGATTTTCAAATAGCAGCTACTCTCGTAACTTTTAACGTTGGCATTGTGGACAAACTTTTCACGATTTTTTATCATAAACTACCTTCAACGTTTTCTGTTCGGATACAACGTTATAATTTACCATTTAGATAGACAAATAATATTATCTATACCTCTTCACTGTCTTTCCGCTTAATCTCTATTCATTGCAAAGATTTGAGAAATTTGATATACTGGATATAAACGAACCGTTAAGAATTTTCCTTAGGTTGTTAGAAAAAATTTAAGAACTCCATTTTCTTTGATTGCACATAAATTATTACACTAGCTAAAACTATTATTCAAAGTGAGTATTTGTTGACGCATAAAATTTACCTGCTGTGCTATAGCTGGCATTGCTTCGTAATCATCATCAGCTACTGGATCATAGATAGGTTCATCATCGGACAAATTTGGGTCAGCTACATTCGCATTAGTATTATTATAAAATGATAAGTTATTATTTTGCATTGTAGACCGCGATGACGCAGTTGTTGGCATGTCCAGTGGACGCAAATTAGCCATGTTTTGACGTCGGCGAGCATCAATTAAAACATCCGTCAATAATCCATTAAATTCAGTTCGACTAAAACGCGCCAACTTTTGGCGACCCTAGGTTAAAAAAGGTATGCAACCACTAATGAAATTTAATTTGAATTCTTTTGCAAACCTGATTACGAGTAGCACTTAAGAATGGATTGGCTGGCAAAAACGGTACAACATTTTCAGCACTAAAGACGGAACAGGCCCAAACTATTCCAAATTGATTAAATGTGTAACAAATAACGTTTCTTAACTATGAAACATTAGCACAAGGACTTACTGGCTTCATTTTCTCGGCGATCCACTTCATCATAGAGATCCATTACTAACTCTTCAAAGATTTTATTGGGCACTAACTGTAAACGACCGCGTGCTACTTTTAATTGATCACTAATGTCGCCGGAGTTTACTTCTGGAATAAGTAAATGTCGACCACTCTGAAATTGAAAAAAAAATTGTAAAAGAATTATTGAATTCACATTACTATCCTTTTACCGCATGCTCGGGTTTCTTGCCCCCTAGAAACATAATTATACGATCTGTAACTTCATACATGGCCTCAAGTAAACGTTCAGCTACTAAAGTGTGATTGTTGGTTTTGGCTACTTCTAGCGATGTTAACCCATTACCATCAATGACATTTATGTCGGATCCATATATAATCAATAATTCGATTTGTGAAACTTGGCCGAATTTTGCTGCTACATGTAATGGTGTAGAGCGTTTTTCTTCGTGAAAGAAATTAGGGTCAGCTCCCTGTGCAAGCAAACGCAACGATATCTCTAAATTGCTAGTACGCACACTTGCATGTAATTGTTTGCTGAGTTCTTTTTCAAGGCATGACCCTCTTACGTCATCATCGTCGTGCAAGTTAGGTTTCAGTACAAAGGCTAGTTGTACGTGTTTAGCTTTAATAAAATCCGACTTGTTGGGATGTAAAGCATCTTTTGGTGAGGGCTTTCGTAGACGAGAAGAGCCTTTAATGTTTGAAGAGGTGGTACCATCCAACAAATGATGTTCCCATACACTATTGGCACCGTGGGCGTTGAGCGAATTAACGAAGTTCAATACTGAAGGTTCCCATATTCCGTGCCGTAAAGATTTCACAATTGATATATGACGTCCTAGGCTGCGATGAATGGAGCAGCAATCTGGACATAAAAGGATACCGCGATTGATAGATGCCCAAGAGGGGTCTGCATTCCAAACATAAAAATAATCAACGCAAGCATAAATATAATTATCATAACCGCTTGTTTTTAATACTTGCCAGTTGCTCCACAATCGCCGCAAACTTCCGCCTGCAAACGTGATTTATTGCGTGACATGTTTGTATTTTTCAAATTATTTGGAACCGTAATGTTACTGGCACTATCAGGCTTATCCAAACTTTTAATAGAAATATGCAAACTTTACCACTTTATGCAAACTTTGTCCGCCAGTAATTGCTTTAAATACGTTTTTATGGAAATCTACCAAACTACTAGCGAAGCACATTTATTAGCTCTTTTTGGTCACACATGTTTTTATAGAAAGAACAGAAATTTATGCTTCACAAAGTTATTAGCGAGCCAACCGCAACTTGAGCAACAAAACCATCAGTCTTTACTATACTCCTTTTTAATAAATTGTTTTCACTTACTTTTTTATGGACTTAAATTTTTTTTACAAGCGTCCGCTCTCTTTCCTACAAGCATTTTTTGCTTAATTACTTTTAATCAACATCAATTAATTACTTTAATTGCCATCACGAGCAAAACTACAATTTGTACATATATACACTCGCGTAATAAAAACAATTTCCTTTCTTCTTATTTTAGATCCAACTAATATTTTTTTTTTGGTATGTTGAACAGAGATGGACTAAGCCAATAGATTTGTGGCTAATATGTCCAATCCAACTAATAAAATATGCGCAAATTAGAAAACTCAGAAAAGTGAAAACAAACTCGATACTATTGTGAAAACAACTGTCTTAAATAAAAAACACCTTCGTGCCGGTAAATAAAAAAACTAATAAAAAGGGAAAAAAATTTGGAAAGTTAATGTTAATAATATACTTTTTTTATTATTATACATGTCATCCACGCGCTTACATTCTGTGTAGGCTTTGATATAATTTTGAATAACAACAACAATGTTCACTTTTTTGGATCGTTTATCTTGTATTTGGAAGTTTTGTGAAATCCGTCGCACCGTAATGTTCACACGTTATAAAAATTATACAAACAATAAATAAACGAAAAAACTATGGGTGTGATTATTCGCCGTTGTTTTGTGCGCATCAGAAAGTTAGCTTAATATTCCGTTTTTCAGCTGATTTTGCTTCACGTATGAGATGGTATTCAGCATTGTTTGAAAACTTCCGCTTTTTTTTACCTCCCCTATGCACAACAGCTATTATATACACGCTGTCATGTCTGTCGTAAATTGGTTGTTCGGTGTTACATTTTAAAAGAAAAAGCAGCTGTGATAGAGAAATAAAAACACATTCGCATTTCATTCACACTTGACACAACACATCATCTTCGCAAACGGCAGCTGGATAATTTTTGTGTTTATCGGTGTTAGTGAAAAAAAAAGGAAAAAAAAAAAAAAGAAAGATTTTAAATATTTGAAAAAAGGAAAAGAGGTTTATTAAAGTAATAAAATAACCAAAGAAAACAATTTTAAGAAGGAAAAGGAGGGAAGGAGGAGGAATCTCTCGTGAGAGAAAAATTAAGAAGCAATACATATATTCAATTATTGTTTTTTCTTTGTGATTTTTTCTTTTTGTGTTTCCTGTGACAACAACCAAAACAACATCAGCCCGTCTCCCTATGGAGACTGGGTTTGATCTTATAACTACTAATAGAGACTGTTTTGAAAATTTTTACATGAACGCTACTGGGCACACCAAGAGATCGAAAATGGGTGAGAATAATATTCTTTTATCTGATAACGGAGAAGCTAACGCAAACGTTTTAATTCCGCCTAGTAAACAGGCTACCGACAAGCCCTCTGATTTGGGTGCCACAGCCGCCCCAAATCTCGAGATTAATTTGTGCGATTGCCTTTCCAACTGCAATTTTGTCGTTTTTGTCGAAACGTGTGCGGACACAGAAGGAAATCGCACCAATATTAACTCCAATCTCTATTTCTATGATTACTTGAACGATTTCGGTATGTACGGCTTGAAAGAATTAAAAGTTGTCAGCAGGGATAGAGCCAAACTGCTTTTCAGCTCCGCTGCCAATGCCAACAATTTTGTTATGAATAATGAATTTAATAAAAAGAATTTAAAAGCGTACATACCGAAATCGTTCAAGTAATCATAGAAATAGAGATTGGAGTTAATATTGGTGCGATT